CCCCAAAACCCCAAAACCCCAAAACCCCATGATGAATAGTAAGCAATTATAAAGAAGGATATTTAAACTAGATTGAGAATGATAATAAATTTTCTAAACTACTAAATTAACACCTTTTTATCAATCATTCAGTTTGATTTTGCTTTTGCCTAATTCTACTTATTATAAGAGTCAGCAACATAGATCATAGAGCCCATAAAACTTAAAGTCAAACCAATAAGCATCATTTGAGTCAATGATTAGTCATCAAAGAAAATGAAGCCCACATATGTCAACAATACATCCTTCAAATTTCCTATAAAATTGTTAGATAAGCCATAACTATGATTATAGATTACCTGTGACATTTGTAGCAATAGGACTGACGACTGTCACAGTCATGAGGACACTGACGGTAATAACGATTCCCATAATACTTGAGAGGAAAACATACAAGATAAAGTAATTCTAGGCTACTTGATCTAATTTGCTCATTGTATCAGTGAACATAGTTATATCTCCAGATTGAAGCATGTAAGCAAATGAAAGAGGTAAGCCGCATAAAGCAAAGTAAAAGTTTATTTCTATAAATGAAAATGATGAGTCTCATAACCTTACCAAATGGAAGCACTTTCTTTTGACTGTTTACTTTACTAACATAAACATTATATCCAGATTAAGAGAAGTTATTCATGAAAACGAGGAAATAGCCTAATAGCTAAGAATTTAGATTCTCCCACTAAATAATTAAGTAAATCACTACAAGTAGATATTACCCCACACACGAGAGCGCCAATTCCAGTAAAAAGCAAGCATAAAGATAAGTTACGATCAGGAACTTAACCATTTATCAAGAATCCCATAAAAGCAGTGGTAATGATTGTGCATCTTCTGAAAGTAAGGAACCTACATATGAAATTATTTAAAATTTTCAAATTCTATTACAAAGGAATACTGACTAGTTTCACTGCAAATAGACCAAACATGACAGTAGTTAGATTAAAAATTCCCATTCTTACTCCTATTGATACCTTAGTCATGCATTCGTTGAATGGGGGTATTTTCATTCCAAACTTCTCCAGTAATTTGAATGCCTCCGGGTTGAACTGTTTGTACATCATCATGCTGAAGCATATTATAACATTGCATAGGCATTAAGTGAAAAGTAGCTAAAATCATTAAGATATTTGAAAAGCTCAAAATAAAAAATTGTGGCATTTGATACTTGATTATTAAATTGATAGGTTTGCACTCTATCATATTCAGTTGAAGTACTGTGTATTGCCTCAAGTTATTGATACTTAAATTAGCAACGATTTAAGTAGAAAAAGGGATATCTTCTTACATTAATTGGACTTTGGAATCCAAACTTAGAGTAAATAGATTTGTTTAAGAAAGTCAGGGATGAAGATGAGGCTGCGTAAAGAAAGCATGCAAATAATTTAATGAACATTGAATACTCTTTCTTTTCTGAAGGCACTGTAGAAGCTGGTTGTTTAGAATTCTACATTTTATCTTTTTATCAATATACTAATTAATAGTTTTGTTTAAAACTACTCTTAAAGTATTTGCTCTAAGCGGGGTTTTGGGGTTTTGGGGTTTTGGGGTTTTGGGGTTTTGGGA